GCGTGAAATGAAAAATCCTTTTAAATCGACCGTCCAGATTGTATTAGCATCACGGCCGCAATCACCATAAGGCGCATTAGGCGCAAGCTGGGGCCTTATTTAAAAATATTACTCCTCACAAATGACAAAATTAAAAACATCCTAGTTATAATTGCAAAATTAAATGCTTACTTTTAAATATTAAATTCATAATATAAAAACTAAAGGCCGCTGAAAAATTTGTAAGCGGTAATTGTTTATTAAATTTCGCCTCTTTGCATCATGTAATGTATGTCGACTTTTATTTTCAGTAAAAGCTTTAAAAAAATGCATATGAATTTGATTAACTAAAATAGACTTGTTTTTTTGAGGTCTCATAATGATGTTGCGCCGAGAACCTCCAAAAGTATAAATGCGGCCCTGATTAGCATATGTACTTTAATTACGGAAAAGGATTTTTTATTCTACACAGCCGAAAAAAAGTATAGTGTATTTAAAAGAAATCGGTAAAACAGACGACTCCAGGATCCCCTTAACGATTTATGCTAAGCGTGCTGTAAAGTTAATAATCTACCACTTCTCCGTCGCTTCTTCCACAAATATAAACTCTAACAAGTCTCGCGAGTCCTAATATACTCCATTTATTCGTCATTTTGATACAATCTTAACTTTTATTTGAATCCCGTGTGATCTCGATTAATTTTAAATTTATAAAACCAATATATTAAATATTTTACTGTCCTTATTTTACTGTCAATATTAAGTGTTTCGTCCTTATTTCAAGGCTGTCCAAGTAAGACAAATGTAAAAAGGTAAGAATATAATAATGTTATCTAAAAAATTTTGCAAACATTCGAAAAAAAATTTAGTTTGATAATTACAATCATTGCTTCAATCTGAAGAGCTATGCAGTAGATTATCGCAAAGTATTACATCAAATTCACTTGGACATGCAACAACAAAAGATTGACATACATCTGCAGTTTCAGTTTCTTTAAGTATTTAATGTTGTGAAAATTGCACTCACCATGTGTACCTAATAATTTGTAAAACCTATATTCTAAATGTAGCTGTGGTGCCTTTGACTTCATTGGTTCCTGTAACAAAAAAACAAACTCGTTCGCAAAAGTTGTTATTGCACGAAATGTGCTTAATTCTTCAAAAAAATTATGTAATCAATGACAATATCAATGATAGTAATGTGACGTAAGATAAGTTATACTTTTACTCACCATTTTAATTGCTACGTGCTCATTATTGTACAGGTTCTTCCCTACAAAAACAAAAAAAAGAGAATCAGTTGATAATAAAAGACCGGTAAGTTGTTTGTAAATTGCGCAGACTATTTGAATTCTACACAGATGCACCGTGTCAAACATTTCAATCCCCTTTCGTACACCCAGTTCAATGGCAATCTGCCTCGTTATAATTTACCGTATTGCGTTACATGGAACAAAGATCGATAAGTATTATGAATGGAGAGTATTAGCGAAGGGAATTGTAGCGTGGGATAAATTGCTGCGGAATTTTAATCGTGCAACGTCGGGTTATATTGTAGCAGGGATTTTAATGTTCTTTCTAAAAGCGAACCGCGCGATTCAATTCGCGTACAACGTTAGTACTATTGCGCGAGATATACGTGATGTTTCATGCAATTATTACACCTCGATGACAATATGATTGCGCGATAATTAAATACCGTGCGACGATTCGCTGATTGCAGCCGACGTGAGGAAATTAAATCGTACAGATCACCGCGGTCATCGCGCGGAATTATGCTCGTTGACTATTAAACATTCGCGTAAACTTATCGGGGGTGTTCCATTTAACATAATCATAACATAAAACAATTATTACGCAAATTACAAGCGATAATTCGCGCTGTATTTCGCAACGCGCATCGAATAATGAAACATCGTCAATCGCAAATTGTATTAAATAAATTTATCATTTAATTTAGCCTCATGAACCGCCTGCAATGTATGTTTTATATCGATTACCCAAAATTCTCCAGATTACATTGTTGCAATTTTACCGCGTATTCGATTGGTCACTGATCGAATCAAATCAAATGAATCGAATCATCAATTGATATCGTGAGCGGCTGTCATTGCAAAGATTTTGACAGTTCGTATGTTAAAAGTGAGTAACATTAGATTGTTTAATAGTCAACGAGCAATTTAGAATTTATACACTGTACTTTACTACACTGAAAAAAAATTTTAGAAAAAATTTTTTACAATCAAATAAATATACATTTTTTTTAAATCTAATTCTTTCACTTGAATAAGTACTTATTTGATTTAAAGAAACGTTTTGTTATTTGAAATAAATAATTCTTTGTGTTGAATTAAAATTATTATTTATAAAATCAAATATAAAATACTTTAAAATGAAAAAATGTGTATTTAAAGATATTAAAGATAAGATTTATTAAAGATATTTAAAGATATTTAAAAAAATTATTCATTAAATTTAAGAAAATCTAGATTTTTTAAAATAAGCAATGAAAAATAGAAAAAATATATTTTTATTTTAAGTAATTTGATATATTTGATATAATTTGATATATTTAAATTAAGAAAACAAATTTTAAAATAAAGGTTACTATTTTCTTGTTGGGAATAGCCTATTACTTTAAACAAATGCTACGCAATGTTACGTTAGAGTTTCGTTTGAACACACAGACGTGAGTAGATGCTTGATGCACCACACATTCTCAGGTCTTGTGTAGACATATATTATTAAAACGTTAACAAAACTAGCATTTCCTGTGTGAGATTTCTCGACATTCAATTAATTCAATCTTTATTTTGTATTAACATTTTATATGATAAAAATCAAAATAGGTTTTGTAAAGCCTTTTTCGCATCTTATGTGGATTTATCAAGTAAATCAACTAAAATAAAAATGTCTGTAAAATTTTAATAAATAAAGATCCGTATTCAGAACGTGCTTGTAACGTTTTGTTGACAAATTGAAATCTTACGCTTTTCTTGATCAGATCATTGATTAAATATGACAAAATGTGAAATTTAAATTTATTTTAGTTATTTGTATTTCTTTTTTATACATATTATATTTGATATTTACAAAGCTAAATGACGCACGCGTAATGTGCACAATGTTACGTTCTAGTTAAATATAAATTCTCGACTATCGAAGCAATATTCGATCGTTTAGATATTATAAAATATACATCGCGGTACATGTAAAAATCTAATAATCCAGCATTATTTTGAAACATACAGAGAGATAATGTTTTATGTATCCAATTGCAAAAGACTATCTAATACTTTATTAAAATTTAATGTCACAAATTTGACATCTACTTTTTAAATTAAATAAAAAATTAATAAAAATAAACAGCATTTCTCTCTGCTTTACACCAGATTTTCTAAGAAAAATTTTTTAGTAAAAGTTAATAGAAACCTTTTAGTAAAAAGATATTAAATGTCTTCGTCTTAAATTGGATGATAATAGATAAAAATAAAGATATGTTTACTTTCTGCGCTACAAAAAATTATTAAATGCTTCTAAAAGATAACATTGAATACTGATTTAATTTCGCAGTTATGCGCAATAAATTTGCATGCATCTCATAATCCGCACGTGACTTGTAGAAAAATAACAAATACTACAGAAGCCGGCTAAAGGACAAAATTTAATTTTGTGGAGGTTTAATTTTGTCCGCAAAGGCTTCACCGCGTTGCGAATCTAATAAGAGAAACTTGTGTTTAGCGAATTTTCTTATTTTACAAATCAGCTGAAAGATACGACACACCGAAACGAAAGACATATAATAGAGTCACTGACTGGATTCATTCGAAACGAGTCTAGTGAGAAAGATGAAGTAAAAAAAAAAGGAAAGATAATAAGAAATGTAAGAAAATGTAAAATAAAAATATAACAGAGACATCGCGCGCAAAATATGCTATTTATACTATTGCTCAATCTTTTGAATCTTTTTTCAATCTCAATATTTATTTCAGAAGGATTCGAGGATTTTATGCGTTCAAATTAAGAACATTATGCCTTTAAATGTACAGTTTCATTATAATTATAAATGAATCGAACAATTACTCGTTCGAATAACGCATAGCAACGACGAACCAAACGAGTATAACATCACGCATGGTCGGTGCTACTTGACGTTCGCGTAAGAAAAATGAAGCACTCGACATTTACTCGTCGCTCAACGAAAGCACATTCCTGCGGCCGCTTGTGCACCTCTACCTGTGGAGACATAAAGGATGCGGGCCGGAACGAACGAACGAACGAACGAAACCTCTTCGCCAGAAGCAAAGGTCAATGACTCGTGAACGAATAGGCGAGTGAGCGAGTGTTTGCGCGCGCGCGCGCGCGCGTTCTGCAATTAGCAGGTTCGATACTTTCTCGGTAATTAATGCGACGCTTCTCCGGCCTTTTTCGTCCCGCTCTCCCGTCGAAGCGCGATTATTTCGGTTAAAGGTTGGCCACGCCCTTGTAGGACCAGCTGTCCCACCGTCGGCGCCTCTCCGCACTCGCGGAACGATCGTGACTTCCTCGACGCAAGAAGCAGCGATATAAATATCGCTTAATCGCTAGATAGTTGAATCTCTTTTAATATCTTAATTTGTGAATTACATTAATGCTTCGTGAAATATAATCAGTCAACAATCATGATAATAAATTATGACTGATAGTTTTACACGTAATGATTCATCATGTTCACTTCATACGATTGAAATGAACATGATGTTTATTGAAATAGTATAAATAGTATTTAGTTTAGACAATTTTTATACTGACGCATAAAATTAATTGCGTTATATCGCTCCTTGTAAATAAAAACAGGAATAATATTAAATGCTGATGTTACAAAATGTTGATTTTATGATTACGCATCGCGAGTAAAGAAAAAGTGCTGGCACATCTCTCGCTTAAAATATTTTTACACAAAAAAAGTCAAGTGTTGCAACAATGTGCTTTCTAATTCAGTCTACTCGTACACACAAGTGAATGCGATGAATTCTATTAAAAACTTTACGGCATTATTTTCCTCTTTTCTTGTAAATTGATTCTAAAAAGATTAAAACGCTGCAGCAGTTGCAAAATGCAAATACCTTTCTACTCACTTTCTGCTTCGGAGATTTTTTCTCTAAATTATAGTTTTTATATTATTTTAAATATTAAATTCGTAATTTTTTTTATAAATAATTAAGCGCTAGCGGTAGTGATTGTTTTCGTCTGAAATTAATATAAATTAATATAAAATAAAGTTGGACATGTGTGAAATCATAATTGCGCTATTGCACGACACGTTTGAGGTGTTACTTAACGCGCATTAAGGAAACGATCGATTGAACCTGCCTGTGAAGAGCCACCGAGAGGATTCTTTTATCGAGCATGGCCGCTCTTCGGCCGATATAACCAGTCTTACCGGTGCGAACGCCGGGTGCCACGGCGAGAGAACGCAGGCAAAAATTGCCACGACAGAGCGTGGAAAACTATCGACCTGACACACAGGCGCGCGCCAATCCGTACAAAGGTACAGAGAGCAAAGCGGTGCGAAAACCTGGTGAAAGAAAAAAAACACTGACAATGAGAGATCAAATGGACTCGTCATACATCCTGCCTGAGCGAGTACAATAAGTACGCAAACCAGAGTTTTCAAGATGCTAACAATATCTATCTATATTTCGGTTAGCAAGATTGACAGAATACATGAAGAAATGTGTGACAATGTGAGATAAAATTCGAAAGATATAATAAAAAATTAAAAGTGTATGAAAGAATGAAAGAATGAAATTTTATCCGTAAGAAAGTATATCGATCAAAGCGAAAACAATCCAGCGCTTCTGCAACGTATAAAAAGATAATATTACATGTCCAATTATAGAACAGCTAACGTCTTACCTTTAGGAGATAAAACGATATTGGCTGTACTGTGTCAAATTAATTATTAATTAATACAAACTGCTTGTTAATATCAGAAATCTAAGTAATTTGAATTAGGAGCTGTCTGATACGGCAACTCTCTGTTTTTAAATTCGGTTAACAAAAAAAAAAAAAAATTTTCACTTTCTATATTACAAAAGATTTTTTAATATACAAAACGAGCGATGTCTAACATTTCATACCGACTTCAGCCCGTAGAATCCTTAATATTTTGAACGTACAAATATCGCTAAATGAAAAATATACATGTGGTTTTTGATAACTCAACGTCGTCCTCATTTTTGTCGACGTGTATTTTAATACGTCTTTCGCTCTTGTATTTTTTCGTTCGTT